TTCCTTAGAGACTGGAGCACTTGCAGTTCTGGGAACCTAGCCTGCTTAACTGAGCGATGTGATGCTGGGTTGAATCAGTGTTCTTGCTCTATCTGGAGCATAGCTGGTGAGTGCTCCAAAGAATCTGAGTCACTCCTCTTCCTCTTTTCCTTTTCTTCCTCTTCCTTCTTCTTCTCCAATTAAAAAACCACATTCTTGGAAAGCTTCCTTATTAATGGCCCAGATAAGGATGCTCCAGAAAGACTATTTTAAATGTTTAATATACAATGTTAGTAGCCCCACTGACTGTTGAAAGAATTTTAAAAAGTTGTGAAAGACATTCACATTGACAACATATGTGCTGAGTGAACAATGTGTACTGAAAGGGACAGACGAGAGGCATACACTGAGCTGTGAGTTGATAACCTAGGAAGTTATGGGGCTAGAGGCTTTTCAAAAAGACAAAGGAAGAACATACAACCAAACAAAAACTACTGTCTTTCAAAGATTAAAAGTTGTTTGGAAAGAGAGGTGGAGAAAGCAAACATATAGGATCACATTTAGTTTACATATTCCCCTAGATTTCAGACTTTAGGTGCTCTGTCCTCTACTTTGCAAACCTTCTTCTAATTATTTACAGTAAGATACTGTGAGTTTTGCATCTTGTTCTCTATAGGATGTTCACAGGGAAACATATAGGCATGGTTCAATACATAGATGTAAAGTGAATGCCTGTAACTTTGGTTCCCTTCTCTCCGTTTCCCTAATGTGGCGACTAAGAGTGTGTTTTCATAAATAGAAAGGCTGTAGTACACATCCTTGATGGCAGCAGTAGCAAACATACTGGGGAGACTGGATCTCACTCTGGTATATGTCCTGGACACAAGTGCCTCTATGAGGGGTGCAGAAGACAACTTCCAAGAGAAAAGGAATACAGGTAAAATCTGGAGTTCTGTGAGAGAAAGACAGAGGAGCAGAAAATTTCAGGCTTGAAAAGGGGAAACATGACCCAGTGCCGTCAGTGCCTCCAAACCCGGAGGTAAGTGTGATGCTCCTCGGTTTACAGCTCCTGGGAGGAGAGTTGATGTGTCTGTGGTTATATAACTTAGCAAAAAATGTCTGGGGCCAGAACTCAGGCTGTTGTTAGGTCTCTCCTTCCTTCTAGCCCTTTCGCAAATTGTACTTGGAAAGTAGAGGTAGAGATGGGTTCATGTACAATAATATGGCATTCGGCTAAAGTGGATCAGCGTAGGAAGTTTTATGATTTAGGGAAGGAGTAAGAGAGGAAGGATTCATTGCCCCCAGTCAAGAAAGAGAGATCTTTACCACCACTTAAGGAATCTCCCAATTCCCTCTTTGCTATAACTCACTGAAACTGAGATCTAAGGCAGGGCCTCCATGAGTTAGGAGCACTTAATCCAGTGGGGAGATCCCAGAACAGGATATTTCCTAGTTTGAGAATGCCTTTCATGCCAGTTATGGATAAATTTGCATTTTAGTAGGGACATTGCTGGAGCAGCCCAGCTTTAGGCAGTTCCACTTCCTGCTGGGTGGGGTAGCAAGACCTATAAAGAGGTTCCCTGCTGCACGATTCCTAAACTCCTGGTACCTGAGCACCAATCTGCCTTGGAGAACCTGGTGAGTCTGCTTCCTTGAGTTGCTCTGTTTTTGTGTTCTGTAATGTTGAATTTAATCTGAATACAGCCAGTTTGGAGGATCGAAAACTATGATCATTGGTTTGATGATACTTAGTGGATGAACCACAGGGTTTGACAACATGATACAGTGGTTTAGATTGCTTTTAAAAAAACGCAGAGTTATAGGTCCATATGGACAGAGATGTTAATAGGAAAGATTTATTAGAAGACGAGAAAAGGATGAGGCATTTTTCTCTTTTCCATGTTTTTCTGGCATCCGTTTCAAAGTTTTGTGTCTCAGCAGGTGTGAGGGCCTGAATTCTTCCTGAACAGCTCTTTGCTCTGTTCCTGTCAACCCGCTGGGACTTTACAACAGATAATGATGATAGGAATGGCTTGTGAGATTGCCTGAGGTGTCTGCACTTGTGACTGCCTTTTCTGAAGATGTTTTTTGTGGAATCACATGATTCGTTTTTTATGACAGAGATTTTTTTTGGAAAAATTGTATGAGAAAAGGCAGGATTTCCCAGGTCTGCTGAAGCACCTTGCTAAAGTGGAAAATGGAAGATAGTCAGTCATGAAAAGGGAGCTAAGAGTTCAAATAAATTTTTGGAAATTGGGAAAATAATATGCTATGATATTACATAAGCTTTGGCTTCTCTCTCTGTAGGAATCCCTTCCCGTGAACACTGTCATATCATTTCTTTCAGATTCTGAGACTCCAGCAGGATGTCTTATCAACAGCAGCAGTGTAAGCAGCCCTGCCAGCCACCTCCTGTGTGCCCCACACCAAAGCGCCCAGAGCCATGTCCACCCCCGAAGTGTCCTGAGCCCTGCCCACCACCAAAGTGTCCAGAGCCCTGCCCACCTCAGCAATGCCAGCAGAAATGTCCTCCTGTGCCACCTTCCCCACCCTGCCAGCCAAAGTGTCCACCCAAGAGCAAGTAACAGTTTCAGTGTTGATCAGGACCATGAAAGGATGAGGATAATTGGCCCACCTCATTCTGTAGCTCCACCTGCATCTTCTCATCAAAGCCCACCATGGATACACAGGGAGCTTCTTTCCCCTTTGCCTGTGATCTGCTGGTTATGATCCCTGACAGCAAAAGATTTCCTTTCTGAGACTGTCATACCACCACCGTCCGGATGAAGTCTGAGAAAAGGAAGTCCTCAGCTGTTCCAGCTCCCACAGCTTTGGAAGAAAGAGCAGCAGCTCTCTCCCTGGGAACCATCAGAGAATTCTGTTGATGTGTTCTGTGTCTGTCTGTCACCTGGGCATGAGCTTCTCCCAGCTGTGCCATTGTCACTTTTCTTTCACTCCCTGAATAAAGTATCTATGCATATATATTTGTGAATGGTTCTCTTGGTTCTCTTCAAATCTGCTTTATTAGCAATATTATACAATCATTTGCGTTTATTTCCATCTTTCTTTCATCCACAGGCAGCATATCACAATTTGGGTCATACCAAAGATTATTTCTGTATTATATTAAACCCCTTTTATTTTCCTTAATGGTTTTTCATTAATTTTAGGAACATATTATTCAACTCTCTGAATGTCTACCTCTTTAGTGCAAAGTGAGCAAAATAACATTTACTTAATAAGTTGTCTAAGGCATAAAATTGAATTACTATCTGAAATTTTGCTGGCACAATGCCTGACACATAATTACCTGTCATTTAATAGAGGTTTATTTGCAGCAACCTATCATCACTGTTTCCACTATTACCACTGCCATCATCATCGTCATCATCGGCCCCCATATTTGTTCCAGCAAGAGAGTGGCTTGGATGTAACTAATATAGAAAATAAGAAGACTCTCTTTTGTTATTTTTTATTGATTCATAATACCTATAAATATTTTCGAGGTACATGTGATATTTTATTACATGTATCATACGTGTAATGATAAAGTCAGGATATTAGGAAATTTAGGACGTTCATCACCTTGAGCATTTATCATTTCTCTGTTTGTCGGAAACATTTAAATTCCTGTGTTCTAGCTATTTTGAAAAATACAACATGTTGTTGTAAATCGTAGTCACCCTACTCAAGCAGCTTTTTCTCTTCACAATTTTTCACAATTTTGTTTGTGTTTCTTTCTCTTCCTTTTTGAATTTGTTGGAATGAAAACAAAGCCTATGCACATTCACTATCCAGAAAAGATTCTTACAAGAAGTATCTGATTCATTCTATCAATTACCATAAATCCTTCTTAATCTCATGAACACTAAGCATACAGGAGTACTTTACATTACTCATAGCTCTTGAAATTATGCTCCTCAATATTCTAACATATAGAGAAAACAAGGGTAGAATTTACAAGGTCTATTCACTTTGGGAAGGTTAGTGCAAATGAGGTATTCAGTTTCTTATAAGGATACAGCCTACAATTTATGTAAACTGTCACCAGAAGAAATGTGATATTTACATGAGCAATTTTTTTATTGCTCTAAAGAGCCAACCACATTAACAGCAAACTAAGTTGGAGGTAACATTATATATATTTTTTCACATAGAATACTAAATATTTATATATGCTGATATTTTACAAATGAACAAATCCACATATTGCTACTTCTTGTATTTAGATTTATTTTCTTGTATTAACTAAATTCAGAGGAAAGTCTTAGAAAGCACAAACAACTAAGTACTGATCTCAATTTCTGCTTAGATTAACTCTCATTTCATTACATAAGAATAAGCGTCAGGGTCAGCCCATCTTATTATTTCTACACACTTCATTCAAATTGTATATTTGCATTTGTTTTGTCCCCAAAACTCCTGGCACACACTTAAAATAAAGAAAAAATAAACGATTTTAAAGGTGAAGCAAATAACTTTCTCACTGTGAACAACTCGAACTCGATATTTTGCGTCTGTCTCTTCGGTTAGCCGTGTGTTTTCTTTACTATTTTGAGTGCTGTCTGTAGCACGTGCTAAGTACTTCGTATGCAGTTTCCGATTTAATGTTTTTCTCATGACAATTTAGTGGTAGGTACTATTATTATCACTATGTTCTATTATTTTTATCACCTCTCTAATAATAATCAATTTCTTCAAATTTCATCATATTATGGCCAATTTTATGATTTCTATCCAGCTGGCTCTTGGATAATAGACAAACTCATTTCTGATTGTTTTTTACCCTAGTATGATCTGCCAATTTTGGTGAATTTTTTTTTTCTTTTGACATGGAGTCTCACTCTGTCACCCAGGCTGGAGTGCAGTGGCATGATCTTGGCTCACTGCAACCTCTGCCTCCTGAGTTTAAGCAATTCTGTGCCTCAGCCTCTCGAGGAGGTGGGATTACAGGCACCCACAACTACACCTGGCTAATTTTTGTATTTTTAATAGAGACAGGGTTTCCCCACCTTGGCCAGACTGGTCTTAAACTCCTGACCTCCTGATCCACCCGCTTCAGTCTCCGAAAGTGCTGGGATTACAGGAGTGAGACACCGCGCCCAGCCTGGTGAACTGTTTTATAGATACATATGACTATTGGGTGTCTGTGTCTTCTATGTAAGTATGTCAGTGCTGTGAGGACAAGGATTATTATTGGGGTTTTCTTCAAGAGAGATTTTATAAGGGATATGATCAAATGTAAAGCTATAACAATAAAAAACTGCTGATTATATATCCAGCCCCCTTTAGTGTCTGACCAAAAATGCTGAAAAGAAAAAACGCCATTATATCACAAATTGAGAATTGCACATGCGTGTGTCTTGTCAGCTTTTCAAAGTAGAATTTTAAGATTCCTCAGTCAGTAATCCGTAACATTTGGAGACTATTTTGAAAAGTAAAACAAGAGAATAAACATCATCTGTACTTTCACCAGCCATATGTAAACAGATTTAATATTCTGTTTCATAGTTTTCTGTCTTTAAATAAATGATGAAAATGTTGTCATGCTTTATATATGTTTTTACCACAATTTGAATGTTTTAAATTATATTAAGTAATCTTTCAAAACATCCTCCTTAATGATCTTCAGAATTCTACCATAAGCATGTGCTGTAATTTATCAGATTTGGCATGGAAGGACAATGGAGACTAGGCTTTCATAAAGAAATACAAGCAGAAGGCAGATATGCATGGGAGTTGGAGTTACCATTTCTATGAGCACATCAAGAATATTTTACCATAATTAGACAACATTAAAAGGGTTTGCACAAAGTGAATGGACCACCACAAAATTATGTTATGTGAAAAAAAAACAGCAATTCTCAAAAGGTTACATGATGTATACATTCACTCAAATATTCTTAAAATAATAAAATCCTAGAGATGGAAAAAGAGTAATATTTACCAGAGGTAAGCATCTGGGAAAAGAGGCGTGGTTATGGCTTTAAGCGGGAAACAGAGGAGCCCTGTGGGAGTGGAACAGTTATGCATCTTGACTGTTGTGGTTGTCAGCCAAAGCGAAGGATGTGATGTAAATTTCATAGCATTATAAACACACACACACACACAAATGAGTGAATATATAACTAATAACATTCAAATATACTTTGTGAAATGTAAAAAACTTAAGTGTTTGTTCCTTCCTGTCGTTTTTAAGTACTAATAATTCATACTTAATGATCCCCTAGAAAATTATGGAATAGAAGTAATAGGAATGAACTTAAGGTGATCAGACTGTTAAAGAACGTAATGCTAAGCTCTTTAGACATGCAGATAGATGTTAGATAGATAGATAATACCCATGGTGTGTATGTGTGTGTGTGTGGTTTGTGTGTATGTGTGTGTGTGTGTGTGTGTGTGTGTGGTGTGTGTGTGTGTTGTGGTGTGTGTGTGTGTGTGTGTGTGGTGTGTGTGGTGTGTGTAGTGTGTGTGTGTGTGTGGTATGTGTGTGTGGTTTGTGTGTGTGTGGTGTGTGTGTGGTTTGTGTGTGTGTGGTGTGTGGTGCGTGTGTGTGTGGTGTGTGTATGTGTGTGTGTGTATGTGTGTGTGTGATGTGTGTGGTGTGTGTGTGTATTTGTGTGTGCGTGTGTGTATGTATGCGTGTGTATGTGGGTTGTGTGTGTGTGCGCTCGTGCGTGCGCACGCCTCATACTATGTCTGAAGGCCTGGGTGTCCTAACTTGGGGAAGTTGACTGTTAGCTGCCCTTCTTCACGTTGCAGCTGCTTTTCATGTAGCTCTTCCGTGAGGAACTCTGAGTTTCAAGTTCACCAGCTCAACTTATAAAGCTGGCCTGTCTGGGATGCTGGGGGGCCCTAGGGCTGCTGCCACTCTGGAGAGTGCACTGCTGTGATAAGCAACCTGATTGAGTGGGGTGTCCTCAGAAGGGGAGTCCTCAGAAGGGCATGACCCAAACTGTATTATCTCTCACAGTGATCTCATTTGGCAGCAAAGTCTCCAGTTCTGTGTGGGAGAAATCAGACATTTCTCTAAGAATTTGTGTGTAAATGTGATGCGAGGATCTGGGGAGTAGTTGGGGACCTACTGAGAGAAGTCCCTTTACTTCACCCACTGGGCTTGGCATGTGTAATAGTTTATAGGAAGCATTTGGTGAGAACACTGGTTGTAAACACCTGGCCTCAAGGTGTTGATGTGTTGGCTCTGTTTCTGTAGTGACAGGCCAATGGCGATCTTGGCCAAAAGCCCTTCCTTAGAGACTGGAGCACTTGCAGTTCTGGGAACCTAGCCTGCTT